TTAAATATGCTGCCACCACTGAAGGCGGCCACTCTGTGCTGGAGACGCTGCCAACGACCCGAGGTTCTGCTGCTAGTGATAAGACGTGCTGTTGGCCGAGACGACCTACCGACGACAGAATACAGAGCTGTTATACTAGTACAACTGACAGTAAATTACTATCTGCTATCCTGTTCTGCCTTCTCTTCCTAACACGTAACTGGGGGATACAACCGGTGTTGACACAGGAACACACTCGGTTATAATAACCTGAGATACGCTCGCAATACTGTCGCAGTGAGTGCGGACAGGCTCATTTGAGAGGTCGGTGTACTTCACTCGAAGGATGGTCCTCAAGCAGCGGTGGTCAAATACCTTCAGTCTTAGTTCGTCTTCCACGCGCAAAACCCAGCATTCATATTCACATAGGACGGCTGGCGGGACGGATGCACGGTACACACGGATCTTCGGGCCGATGGAGATGTCGCGTCGGATCCATAGGCGCTTTCGCAGGATTGAGAAAACCCAGTGAGCAACATCGATTCGGCAGATTATGTCGTTCGTACCCTGTCCAATCGGTAGCAGCCTTGCCCCGGGGTATTTAAAGCTGTCTATTTCTTCAAGTTGACGACCATTAATGCTCAGAGGTGCCGTCTAGTCAAGAATGTAGCTGGGGAATAATTTCACCCTCCCGGCGTTTATGGAAAAGCCGACCGAATTAGCGATCGTATTCACCCGTTATACCACAGACTGTACATCACCAAAGCTTGAGGCTAGCAGAATGATATTGTCAGCGTAATCTAAGTCAGTCAGCTAGCGCATAAAGCTCAAAATGGACTCCGTTGGAGTGAAATCGAGAAATGGGGTTAAGGTCGTTCGACACTGCGGCCCGCAAATAGTCCTCCTCCTACTCAAACGAGCTTAACCCGGATAGGCGATCCCGAAAATACTTAAAACACTTTCACAGGCTGAAAAGACATATCCTTATATGCTTCTAAATGGAAAAATTGACTGTACGTAAATTATCTTTTTCACCACAACCTACAAACCTACGGCAATCAGTGCATATTTCTTGCTTTAAATAACCTGCCGCACTAGAAACTATGCCGGTACGCTAAAAGCCATGGCTTGGAATGCGGTCAACTGGCAGGATAACAGACACATATAATTTAAAGCATTTTTCCCCAGGTACAAATTTGAAGCAAGCAACAGCGGCAGAATTTATTTGTACAAATAAATTTCGAGAGAACTTATCAACTGCTTCCTCTCCTTGCATGAATAACGAAATAGTTGATAAGCTCTCTCGAGTTTTTATTTGTACAAATAAATTCTGCCGTTGTCGCTTGCTTCAAACACACATAAAAGTGTCATGCTGACACTATCGTGCGTAAAACGCCCTGATGAAACTCAAACCAAGTCCCCACCTTCCAGAGGAACAACCACCTAATATTCAGCGGATAGCTGAAACTAAATCCGGAGATTGGAATCCTTTTGAAGCAACGCAAAACGTAAACCCGAGTGAAAATGGGCAGTCAGAGTGCAATGCACCAAGGCCGCAGCCCAACATAAATATGAGCAAAACTCACACATGAGTCCGGTGAGTAAGGGCAGTAGGCTTGTCGTGCTTAGCTTGACGGTCTTTTTATCTTCACTGAGGCCCAAGGAGAGCCTGAAGCTGGTAGAGACGTCCTTCGCAGTGGATACGAGGCTCTGCCCAAAAGAGCTTTCATCTTTGCTCTTCTCGTCATCATTCTTATTGGTTGAGGTTTCAGCGTTTGGGGTGACGACGTCAGCAGCACCACCAGCAGCAGTCACTCCTGGCTTCGATTCAGCTTTCTCCTGCCCTGGGCGTGGACGGAGGATCAGTTGTTTCAGAGCCGATGGGGTCAATGACTCCAGACGCTGGGCGATCCTTCGATTGAGCCAATCCACATCCGCAACCAGGGTATCCCAGTTGACCTCAGACTTGCGCGCCACGTAGGCTGTAAAGAAACCCCAGCCGGAAGCCTGGAATATACAGAAGATGCCAATCGCTCGATAGAAACGTCGCCGGTCGGAGGCAATGTAGACGGCGGTGGGATCAAAGCCGGCAGTGGGAAAAGGCGGGGAGACTTGCGTCTGGCGGAAGGCTGGCCGGTAGGGAAGTCGAGCAAGTAGGTAGCGAACCCCGTTACGTAGCATGGTCGGTAGGCTGGGAGGGTTAGGAAGATAAGAGCAAAAAGAGGTAAACACAGGAAGAGACAGCTTCGAGGGGCTATCGTCAGGTCAGTCAAATGTTAGCGCAAGCAAACGGAGATCGCGTTGGGAGCCGAAAAATATGAGGGGAAGAAATTACTTGAATGGCCCCCAAAGAGAACAAGAGAATAGGAACGCCCCGCTCGGCACTTAATCCTAGGAGGGGTAGATATTTCCGTGTCCTGATTCTAGCACTATTCCTATTAATAACCATAACACTAACCTGAAAATAGCCTTAAACCTGAACCTAATCCTTCACTTAATCCTAGCCTTAATCTTTAAAAAAACTTTGATCGATCTGGAATTTGGCATGAAGCGACTTTTATTCCGGCTAGTTCCTCTTCTCATGTCCTGTTTAAAATGCATCTTCCTATTGACCTTCGATGACTGGGTAAACTTGGTCGGATTTTGCATCAACGCTAGGTTGCTTTACTACATAAATTTCATATTGGATTATGTCTTCTTCAATGTCGGCACTTAGGGGGAGAAAGGGGGCAGTTAAAGTTCGTTAAATTTGCCCCCTTGGGACTTTTGGAGATAACTGCACGATAGCTAAATTACATCGGTAGCTTCAGGTTCGTTTGCGTAACTTCCACGGCATGAATATGCAATATGCTCACCAGAGAGTCCGCTTGTGGAGATCACAGGACGTTAATTTACTCCAAATGAGATGCATAACGTTAAAGATGATAGCCGTAGAAATAAGCGGAAGCTCAAACTCCATTTCAAGGTATGCGGGTATTAGTAGGCCTGTATAAAACCAGAACCCCCCCCCACCGTTCGACAAAATAGAGACACCGGTTCTGCTAAAATGGGCATATGAATCCAAAGTTCGCGCAATTCCCTCCACTAAATCTTAATGAGTGCACACAGACACAGAATATCAACGGAACGCTGAACTCTACTTAAGTTAACGGCCTTCAGAGTTTTTGCTCCATGCAGGAAAGACGCCAATCTAAACGACAACAAGCGATTGTGTGTTGCCTGCTACTCAGATTAGCAACCCCTCTTAGGTAATACTAGACCGAAAAACGCGCGGATCGGATGGAACAACCGCGTTTTTCAATTACCCTGGAAGCAATGTGCGTCTCAATAGATGTGTTTGATTCTCCCATTTTGGTTGACAACAAGCGTAAGAATAAGATGAGGTTTGTGACTAAACTGAGAGGACGAACACTCTGATGGTCGGAGGACGAAATTAGTTGTTGAGATGAGCTTAGGTTTCCGAAGATAAGTTGCGCATTAGAACGGACTAAGGTATGTTGTGCTCAGCACCAGAATCCCTCCACTCTAGCGTCTCTCCGCGGCCAGAAAAGCTCAAAGTGAATTAGGATTCGTTTGGGCACGGGTTTGACCCGAAATAACCGCGTCTGGGATTCTCGGTTACTACCTGCGATAGCAGTATAATAAAGCAATCAGTTGTTGTCTACAACTGGCCGCCTGTTGGTGGCTTGTTATAAGTGTTATTATTAAGAGGGATTGACCTATTTCAATAATTCAACTGACCCAATTGTGAAAAATTCGCGGCCTCGTTGGGATTTAAACCCACGTCAATAAGGGCAGTCTTAAGTATAGCCAACGCTCTACCAACTGAGCTACGAGCCCCGCCAGGAGCCATTAATTAAATCACACTTGGGTCGATTTATCCGCCCAGCCTACTGCACGTATCGAATTCACCAATACTGATACAGTAAGCTGACTGCCCAGGCAGGATTTCCTAAGCAATCAACCCAGAATCTACCAGATGACCATAATTATTCGGATATTCTGCATTAACTGATAGATTTTGGTTCAACCACGCATAGCAACCTTCAGACCGTTCCGGAAAAACGGAAATGCTGTAGTCTAACAAAAAACAAAGGGTAGTGAGACAAGAGCCACTCATTTGGATTATTATGTTGTGAGAGTAGACCTGTGCTGCGTCTATCGCACCTTCTACCAACTCCCCCACTTGGACCCGATGTCATGAGCAAGTCAAAAAGACCGGAGGCGGGAGCGGCTCCTAGGCGTGCCGCCACACCCGGCTCGGATCCCAGCTGATTGGGTGTGCCATGAATGTCAAATTAAGAGGGAGCCTCTGCAGCCTGACTCTCAGTCACCCACTCTATACAAACAACCATTGGGCTGGCTGCGCGGGGAGACTCAGCATAATACTCTAGGCGCAGTCATCCATTTCCTCCCGGACGGGAGTCTAGCAACCTCGGACAGGACGCATACTGGAGGGGGAGTGACCTTTGATAGAATATTCGTCGCAACATCTATCCTGTAGTCCTCGCGCTCAGAGCCTCCAAAATAGGACCTGTGGTCACAAAACCTACTCAAAGGGCCATAATCGAACTGTATTTCCTGCCTTAACACTCCGCGATAAGCACGGTTGCAACCTGAGCAGCAGCAGTTTTAAGGCCAGCACTTTGGCTGTCCATAGTACCACAATTTGTGTGTAGTTAGCTGCGCCCTCTGTCAGGAGGTCCTTCAGGCAGATTTGCTGATGTTACCTTATTACCAGTCCCAGCAAATCCTGCCAGCAGGTCTAAACGCCCCTACCAAAATGTCAGCACACACGCAACATACTTTGGCATTGTCTGCGCCACTAAGTCCTCTGGTACCGATTTCGCACGAGAACTGTTTAGGTCTTTGATGTGCCTTGGACAGCCTTTGCAGCACCTTTCCAATAGATTTTACACGAAATTTAAACTGTGAACAGTAGGAGTACTTTACGCAGCTCCCGAGTAGTAATAACGCTCCGTAATGCAGGCTTTGTTGCGTTAGATTTCGGTGAAATTTGGGTCATCAGTTAGGACACGGGAATAGGTGTCCTTCCTGAAATTTAGTAGAATAACACCTGTATCGCGGATGGTAGGGCATTTTTATTCCCCTGTCACGCCGAGGGGAGGGCACATAATGGATGTCCATCTAGTAGAAGAGGTTTTCGGACACAAGGGCTTGATGCTGCTTCTCGAGGCGCAATAAAGTCATCGCAGAGGAGACAGATAAGGCATTCTGGATAATCTGAAAATATTTCCGTATTACCAATAACACGAAAGGTTGCTCGGAAGTAAACCGGGACGCCTGCCCGACTTCCTGCTCACTCTGGGCCTTATAGGGACAGTCGGTTAAAGTACGACCGTGAATATGTCTCCTGTGCCAGGACAGGCTCTAGGATGGCGGGCATGAAAAGAAAACCCGCCTCACCCATTGGTATCCTCATCAGACGCGATGCATACTATGACGATCCAGGCTAGCGGTTAGGCTCAGGGGTACAACGGGAGACCCCAAAAAGTGGGAAAGGGCGGAGAACTGATGTGGTCAGTGGCTGGAATAAGGCATATAAGAGTATACTTCGTATCGGCAAAACGTCTCACTTAGTGATGAAGAGAATCGCGACTTTCCCTGAAAGTTGGGATCTGCTATTCCAACTCGGTACATAATGAGTACCAACAAATTGTGAACGCGCCTTGTTATTCGATCAACCTGTGCCCCCCC